TGGACCGATAACGTCGAAACGTCCAATGAATGATCCAATTTCTAAAATCCTCAAAGGGACAATCTCTGTGGAAGCTGGGTCTTTACGTCAAAGTCGTATCCGGGAATCGATTTCTGTTTACAAACATGATGTGAACTGTCTTAGGAGTCGCTTGTTAATGGCTTCCTTCTATACTAAAGTATATGATAAACAGAATTTATATATCTAAATCTTTTTCATACTTACTATACATCTTAAGTTTTACATCCTTATATACTTACAATATATACTTGTATCTTACACAACTAAAATCATATTGTACATACAAAGGTGACTAGAAGGAAATTGTGTTTAGGTTATAAGTAAGAATCGTTACTTAACACGAATGGTACACATTAAACAATTTTTAACTTTTAAATAAAACACTTTAACGGTTTAAAACTCGATATATTAGTTAAACTTATTTGAAAATGATTTTTAACAGCCGTGGTCAAGGGGAGACTCCCCGTGACCACGGCTGCTGCAAAGCATCCGAAACATCGGGCCGAAGTTAAAAATCATTTTCAAATAAGTTTAACTAATATATCGCGTTTTAAGCCGTTAAAGTGTTTTATTTCAATGTGTACTACTCGCGTAAACTATAGACAGTATTTAATTTTTAACTTTTTAAACGCGAACACGGTAGCTTAATTGGTTAGTGCAAGAGCACGGAACGCCAGGGTTGCCGGTTCAAGTCCTGCCCGTGTCGTATTTTTTTTTTATCTTTGAACCGTAAAAAGTTTTATCTTGCAGATTCTTTACTGTAAGACGGTGTGTACAAAGTACTTATCGTCTATATCTACTATCACTTTGCACATTAGGCTTAAAGCGACCTCTGTGAATAGAAAACACATTGTTATATCCTTCATGTTACGCCACATATACGAGGCAACCTATCACTGTCCTGTCGAGGACTTAATGACTATTAAGATGTAATATAGAGCATTCTTGTGATACAATATGGCGAGACAAATGCCTCACTTTATCTTGGAGATAACGATTTTCTTGTTCTACCATACATATAAGTTTAGAAGGCAAATATACAAGAAGGTAGATATAAGAAGTTGTAAATAATTAATACATTATAGAAGAAATAAATCCAGGTGTAAAAAGCATTCCAAAAGTATACGCCATTTTGTATTGACACTATATTTTCGTGTAAGGTGACAAAAATACATTATTTACATCCTCTTATGAATAATATTAGAATACATTTTTATGTTATGTTATTAAACTTTTTATTTTATCTTTAATGCCGTTTATTTACTTATAATTTTAAATATAACTCGTGTAGTAAATATTATTATTATAAGATTAAAGCAAATTTGACTATATGTCGGAAATGCGGTCGTGCTTGATAACTGTCCGGGATAAGTAGCATCGATCCAATTTGTTGGGTTTTCTGGAACCTAAGAGCCGTTTTAGTGACCTCGAGCACAGTTGAAGGGGATATATCTAAGAGATTTTGAATTGTGATAGAGGAGGACACACAAGCACGTGATTCACTAGATAATAGAAAAATCCACAGTCCTTAATTCGTTTGGATTCGAACTGGGGCTCATGATCCAATGTCAAATATATATTATGTATGATATACTAACAAGAACTTCAGAGATATACTATAGAGATAAAAACAAATATCCACTTTACCTCATCATTATTATTAATAGTAGCGAATGTAAAATGAGGGCTCCCTTTGAGCACTTAATACTTATCTATTGATGGAAATGGTAACAAAATTTCTTATGAATGGGCAATAAGTGGAGAGCGGACGTGATCGGCGATACCTTTTATAAAACCTATAATTCCTTTTCCTGATGGTTAGATGCTACGACAAAATGATATTTCCTTTATACGAAGTATAAAGAAAATTTTTACTGACGACAAATATTATCTGAGTTAGTCCTTGCGGCTGGGACGCGCAGCAACGAGTGCTGATGACGCTACCAGACGTATCTGGGACGTATAATGCCAAATCACCTTAGACGACTGATTTACTCAATATAATGTATTGGGCCCGGGCCTCAAATAATAAGCAGACGTTGAGTAGAACTCAAATTGTCAGTTTACTAGGGGAACAACATACTATTTTAACATTCATCACACGCTATGTATTAAAAAATAAACAAATTAATGTTAAAAAACAATAAGCTTGCCGACTTTTTTTTCAATTTGCGTGCGTCATTCTACATAGTCATCAAATATTCAATAAAAATATTAATCTTTAGAATCTAAATTATCTATATTTTAAAACACGTATTACGTCTGTGGAAAGATATAATTTTTAAAATCCGTGTTTAAAAAAGGAACAGCGATCCCTTCCTTGCGGTATTTACATAATCGCTCTTCTTTTTCCGGATTTAAAAGGTCTGCGGTTTTTGCAGCACATATTGTACCTACGTATTACTTAATTACTTAGGCACAGAGACACATTTCCGAAATGGTTTGAATACTTCGTTCTGTTATATGAGTAATAATCGCTTTTACCCGCGACTTAATGGAAGTCTTTCGTAAACATGCATTAATATATTTCTCAATGCCTAAAAGAAAAAGTCCGAATATATCGGATTTCATTTAAAAAAATATATCTAAGTATATGTTGCTCCATGCTCTGATCTTTCAGTAAAAACCACAACATAATATACTTAATGTAAACCTGTTAAGTAATAGCTACTCCAACCAATTCAATTTAGATGTATTGTGAAAATGAAAACATTGTGCTTTTTCCAAGCGTACTTTATAGCGTAAATTATAATGAAGTTCTAAGAAATTATTTGACTCTCTCTTAAAACTCTCTCTTTGGTTTAATGGTAGCAATATATGGCTAATAATCCACGGGTCGTGGGTTCGATCCCAGTCGGGTCCAACAGTCTTCTAATTTTTCAATTTCTAATCCAACCAACCCTACAACTCCAAGCGAGTCACGAACCACAGATGAAAAGCCCGTGAAGGTTAATCACACTTCAGTTTCGTTCTGTGAATATCCGAATATCCAAAGTCAACATAGATCGACAGCGCATCCTGCTTAGATGCTATAGGCTGGGGTATATCACCTACCATCAAGTGAATTCCATCCTTGTTTTTCCTTCTCTATGAGTGAAAGTATGATAACGACACAAGAATATGTTTGCGCTACGCTTGTCCATGACATTTAATAGGAACATCAAGAAAACTCAATTTTTTACCTTTTTATTATTTAAATAAAACACTTTAACGGTTCAAAACTCGATATATTAGTTAAACTTATTTGAAAATGCATTTTCAAATAAGTGTAACTAATATATCGCGTTTTAAAGCGTTAAAGTGTTTTATTTAAATGTGTACTACTCGCTTAAACTATAGACAGTACTTTTTATTATTGTCAAATTAGATATTTATCACTTACATTTCAATTACGGAAACTTATTACACTTATTAACTTATTACTTTTCTATTAAATTCAACTTTCATCGTTGACATAATAAATATATGAAAATCGGAATATAAATTGTGTATATGATAATCATCTCTATACGACGCTGAAAAATAACTAATTCTAATATGTATCTCGCAAATATTTATCTATACTAAATATATAAAGCTGAAAAGTTTGTTTGTTTGAACGCGCTAATCTCATGAACTAATGGTTCGAATTGACAAATTATTTTGTGTTGGGTTTTTCGAGGAATTTATTCATTTATCGAGAAAGGGTATAGACTATAACACATCGAGTAATAGGAGCGAAGAAACAGCGGGTAATGTGAAAAATTATTCATCATTATGGGTTTCCGAAGCGAACGCTGCAAAAATGGTTCAAGATACACAAAAATATGTATGAAAGAATGATTCCTCTTTAAATTATCTAAGAAAAGGCCGCGACCCTTTATGTCTATCTTTTAAGATTAACTTACAAGAAAGACGGGACGCGAGTGACGTCGTGGACAAAGTTGATGCCCAAAATTACTATTCTACGTGGACGAAATCGCTGACACAGCTAGTTTGAAATAAAACTATTGTATACCTACACCCAAAATACTTACCAATCAATCCCTTTTCTATTGTACTAGGGAAAAGTAGTTTTGCCTAAAGGGTGTCATTGAAAACAAATGAGAGTGCTTTATTTTTGGGCTCAACAAAATGAAGGTATGTATTTGGAATCAACATTACTTTACAAACGTAAAAAACTTTTACGTAGAAGCAAATAAAAATACTTTACATAATAATTACGTACAACACATTTTTATGTTATCGTCAATTTATCATAATTATGTTAACCGTAAAAATATGTAGGTATAAGTTTTTTTTGTATTAGTTCTATAACTCTAATCTAGGCTGGAGAATGTATCGTCGTTTGATAGGTGATAGGGAGACGAGTTCCCTATAGGTCGTCTTACCCACATTTATTTGTTGTGATATGATAGTATGAACAATATCCATAAAACTTATATGATCTCGTTAATCTAGACAGAATAATGTGCATTTTGCTTGTAAGCTCGTTACATTGCATTGGTTTCGTAAGTTCAAATAAAATATACATATTTAATAATTATTTTTCAATATAATTGCAGCAATGGAATAATAGTAATGTTCAAACAATTCAAAGGCGAAGATTATAAAATATTGATTTTCTTATACAATTATTGATTAACTTCGAATACGCAGACTTGATAGTCAATTTAGCATTCAATTGTGATAATAATATTGTATTTGGTTTAAGGTTTCAACGGTGCCCTTATTATTATAATATAAGAATGAATGTTTCTGTTGTGAAAAGTTTGTTATAATCTATAGTCCTAAGAAATGTGTATTATCAAGTCAATTGTCAACCATCAAGTCACGAAGAACTGTCAAACGTGTGATTTTATTTTTCTATAATATTACATGGACTAGAAGCGATGGAAGTTGTTGAAAATTTTACCGTTTAGTGTTTTTAAGTTAAATAATCTTCTATTTACGTGATCACGAATGAATGAAAACTAGTGTTTCAAATAAATCTTTTGAAAATGTCTACCACATCAACTGATGATATAAGCGCAATAGCTATAGGACCAGAAGCAGATGCAATTCCCCAAACTCATGAAGGTAATACAAACATAAACGCTATTTTCAATATACCTTCTCGATCAATTAGATCGATAATGTATAATTCCAGAAAGAGCCTACAACCTGGTTGAAAACAGTAGTTACAGCAATAAGCTGTGTTGTTTAGGCCTTATTGCATTGCTGTTTTCTCTAAATAATTTACTGACATTAGAATTTAAAGAAAACATGACATTAGAATTGTTCATTTAGTTAATCATTTACCATCTAATAGCTAGTTAATACATATTTTGAAGAAGAATTTAGAATGGTAATACTGCAATTAAGTCCGACACCTTTTCATATCTTGTCTGTTCAATACTTTTAAGCTGCCTCAAGTGCAAACACTGATGATCCATCCAGCAGTGCAAATCAAGCAAATAGTGAGAGCCAAGCGTCCAGACAGTCAAACTTGCAGAGAATACAGCAGCGAAAATTACAAGTATATAACTGGCCACAACACAAGAAGTTGCTGAAGTTAGCTATCTACTCAGCTTGTCAGGTCATCTATAATTAATGTGTATATACAAAATGCAGTTTATTAAAAAGAGAGTAGTTTTTTATTTTCAACATGGATACTTCTTGCACAAATTCACTTCATTAATTGTGTTTTGTAAGACACCAAAAAGTCATAAATACATTATGACATTTTCTGCTTAGTAAAGAAAAGTAGTGTAGAAAGTGGACATATATCCTAGAAGCTGAAATTTGATTGTATGTCATATCCACAACTTAGCAGTAATCTTTCTTACGACTTAAATTTGAGATCTTGATTGTTCCTGTATGTACCATAATAACACTATCACCATTGTAACATAATATTTAAATAATAAATGTTTTCAGACCCCTGAATGTAACTGCAATGGCTGGAAAACACCAGTCGCACAACAGACAGTCAGAGCAAACGCCAGAGCAGATAATCAACCTCTAGCCAATTTCACAGACCCTTGCCGGAACTGTCACCACATTTTAGGTATATAGATTATATTTTTCTATATGTCAATATAATATATATTGGTGTAAATATTGTTAAACCGACTTGACAATTAATCTTAATATTAAGCTAATTGATTTGAAATGAGTTCATAAAACATAAATTGATCATTTTGGTTAATTGTAATTTAAAGTCAATGATAAACATCATGTTATACTGATATTTTAATACTTACTTAAAAATTTCTAAGCATATCGTCATTTATGTTTCAACTCCTGTGTTAATCTTTAAAAACATTTTTGCGAGTATATGAAACACCTAATACTTGTTGTATTCTTGTTAATATAAGTCATTACCTTGAAAACATCAATTATATGTCATCACAAATTTGGAGAATACTTCAGAGGTCCCTTCATCATATATTCTAGTAATAAATTTTAATAAAGCCTTAAAAATTTTAAGCTAAGAAATGTTAAATGTTTTTAGAGAAACATGTAACTCAGCTACAAGGACTGTCTGGTGCAGAAATAAATCGACTGCTGGCTGCAGTTGTTGATGTTGAGAATATATTTATGTCTATGCACAGAGAGGATGATCAAGACACAAAGAGGGTTTATTATTTTTTATTTAAGGTAAGTGCCATCAGTATCATAGGTATCTAAATTTGAATATGCTCAACTAAGCCAGGCATAAATGCAAAAAAAACGTTAAAACAAAAAAATCTAGATTTTATTAATGGTTAAATTAAATTAAATCTGCAATTTTGTGTGTTTTATGTTGTGGTCAATTGTTAAACAGCTGTTCTATGTATTAAAATTCAAACTTCTAAAACTATTTCAATTCATATTTCTTGTTCCAGCTCCTAAGAAAATGCATCTTAACAAGATCTGAGCCACAAATAGATGGTCCATTAGGACAGCCTCCGTTTGAGAAGCCATCTATAGCCCGGGCTATAACTAACTTTGTTCTGTACAAATTCAACGCGCTACCTCAGAGAGAATGGCAGACGATGTATGATTTAGCAAAAATGTTTCTACATTGTTTCAACCATTGGAACTTTGAAACACCGAGCGTTAGGAAACTGGTTAGTAGACTTTTAACTAGTTTATATGTTTTGTATTCCCATATAACCTTAAAAAATCTTTAAAGTGTGGATTTATTTTCTAGACAAAAGATTTTGTTTTAATTTCGTTACAGTCAAGCCTACAATAATATCACAGATGTTTGTAAATGTTATTTTTACTTGGTTTTTAGCAAACCTCAAACCCAGAAGAGATATCAGCCTATCAAATAAACTATACAAGGTCAGTGTATTACATATTATAATCTTATTAATAACTTAATTGGAGGCGTATGGTGGATGGAGGGCGTCTCTAATGTCAAAGTAAAACTACTACGCTATCGCCATCTGCTCCGTCGTGGTTGGTATTTGGCGAAACTGGACGGGTCCTTGTAGAATTAACTAACGGTATCTTCGAATTTGCCGGTATGCAACTTGACTAAGGCAGCAAAGCATCCGAAACGTCGGGGCATAGTTAAAATAAATGTGAAATAAAATAACTAACGTATTTCGTGTTTTAAACCGTTAAAAGTGTTTTATTTGTGTACTACTTACGTTATCTGCAGAAGGTTTATTAATAAATGAACAACACCATTTTGGTCTTACGACTAACGTAACGCGTTACTGGGCTATAAAGAGTTTACGTTTCAGGTGGCTGGTATTCTGTCACGTGCCTGCATTTTGCGACTCCCTCCCGCATTATGATACTTCATTGGTGTTCGGACGCACCTTATTGAGGGCAGTGTTCAAGTCAGTCTGTCGACAACTCATGGATAAGTGTCACTCTGAAAGAGATAAAATGCCACCAGAGAAACGGGTAAGACCTCCATAATAGGTTCGATGTAGTATGGTGCGTATGACTTTGACATCTGATAGTATGTCATGATTGGGAATGGGTCGTTTAGGACCTATTTTTCCCTTCCACTAAACTCGTAATAGATTATTCAATTATTATTGAAGAGATAATTTTTCTATGAATGTCAAAATAAAACATATAAAATTATAGAAAATCTATACACCCGGCTATGTTTTTGCTAGGGATATCAGCTTTACCGACTACGGTATTTCGAAATATTAAATCGAATTATAACATTGTCTGATAGGTCCATGGCCATAAGACACTACATAGACATTGAAAAATAATATTTCACTAATTTAATTAATGATGGTAATTTTTAGATACTAGTCCTCAATCATTTTCCTCGTTTCCTGGGTCTGCTAGAGGAGGAAATATTTAGTGCTAATTCACCAATATGGGATCCAGAATTCAAACAGATGCCGCCCAGTCACCTACAGAATATTTTGGATAAAACACGTGAGTTTTCAATCATTCTTACATTGAATTTGTAAGTAAGGATACCTATTATATAATCTATTCACTAAAACGAGTAAATACAACACAATCTCTCTCGCAATATGCCCTACAAAGAACAAAGACATATGTCACTATATAGTGATAGGTGGTAATTCTGTGTTTTTATATTAATTTAGTACAAATATTAATAGTTTCGTCAAACAGATTATAACAAGCTCAAATCATTAGCTTAATTACTAACATTTGTACCATAATACTCCAGTAATTATATATAATCAAACATACTTGCATTTACTGCATAAGTGATTAAAGTAAATTATTTTATTTAACTTCTTTTACATAATAATTTTATTTTACAATAATTAAACCATTAAAATAAAGCATTGATTCTTATGTTGTCAAAAGGTGAAAGAACAATTGATATATTTTGTTACTGTGCCTTACTATTAAAGCTTTGAAGGTTCTGTGACATGATTTTAGGCTTGTACCGCTCGCTTGATACTTATGGCAGGAGATTTTCATTCCATGCTTTCATGTTCATTTTACTAAATCATGTTATTATTAAATTTTTTTCTTTCTTTACTCAAAATATAATGCTAATGTCAAATTTTCAAATACATACTTGTGCTTAGAAATCGAGCAGATTATTTGAGGTTTAAAGACATTTATTTCCCAAGAAAGATATAAGATCACTTTCTTGAGAACTTTATACAAATCAACATTATTTTTACAATTCTACCCGCAGGCAACGGTCAAGGAGTTAAGACAAATGATTACGCATACGCTGTTTGTAACACACGGTTGAAAAGTTGTTTCTTAAACTCTCTTTTAAATTTAACTAACTGATCTATTTATTTCATCAAACCTTTGTTATCAGCTGGTAAACGCGGTGAATTTGAACGCGTCACCGCAACGGGAGAAAGCAAAGACGGCTTCACAACAGTGTCGCTGTCGGCAGGTATTTTTTTCCTCAATATATTATTGCCTGTTGGTTTGTTTGCGTAGATTTCTTATGTAGTATTTTTTAACCAACTTTAGTAGTTTAGTAGTTAGTAGTTACAAACTATAATTTGTCAGTTTCGTTTAACACAGTATTTTAACTACGATCGCTCTGAAGTTTGCTTATCTTCATTTGTTTATCAATACATAGATAGATTTTGTTGTGCAGTGTTCAGGGAAGACTAAGATTTTCTAACCGTAACATAATTACATTTTCATACCTCATCAAAACCGCTTTTACTTGCCTTGTTTAATTGGCCCGATCCGGTATAGATATATACCATTGCCCTTTTTATTGAGAAAAGTTATATATTTATATATGTACATAAATATCATCACAATCTTACCATCAAAACGAAGAAATATATTTTTGTGCTTTTCATTATGCTAATTGTTATGTCGGTAGGTTAGTTATTTTCTATTTAGTGTAAATTTGTAGGTAGCTGTAAATTTTAATCAATAAATAGTCGTTCTTTGGATTCACGCGTTCGATTGATGTTTCACGAATAAGGTTTTATGAGTAACAGAAACAATTCACTTTCGGAACGATCGTTATTTACTTATAAAACAAGTAAAATACAATTTAAATAAAATACTCTAACGGTTTATCTAATATATCGCGTTTTAGACAGAAAAAGTGTTTTATTTGAATGTGTACTACTCGCGTAAGCTATAGACAGTATTGTAGTAAAATACTATTATTATTCTGGTAACTGTAATTTAGGTTCTATAAAACAAGAAAGCCTGAAGCGTTCCGGCTCTGAAATGTCGGTTGGGGGAAAGAGACGGAGAGTGGAAGAGAGTGATGACGTGAGCGAGCGGACGGTGACGGAGATAGTAGCCACCATTTCGGATCCAAATTACATGTGTGGACCGGATGTGAGTATATATTTTGTCTAGTTATCCCTCGCGACTGTACTTGTATTGTAATATTTTTAGCTATTTGATTTATGATTATAATTTAAAAAATGATTTTGTTTGTCGTTGTTTTTTTAAATCGATAAGTACCTACCTCTTATTAGATACCCACTTGCGTCAGTTTGATAGACCAGTACGTTTATTAGGGGGTAAATTATATATTATATTGCTATTATTGCTTTATAAAAAATCTTATCTTAAAAAAAAGAATTATTTATATACATAACAACTGGTTAAGAGCTAAACTCCTTAGTTCTTAAATCAAGGGCGTAGAACGAACTGCTTTTATCGCCAAGTTTTATTTTACCGTCTTGACTTAAGTGTTTTAGTTGTAAGAGCAAAAGTCTCTTCTTTTTCTTCTGTTTTAGTTGTAAGAGCAAAAGTCTACTCTTATTTTATTAACTCTTTATAACAATATATATAATATAAAAGCAAGAAAAAGTCTAGCTGTTTATGCGTAATTGATATACAAACGCTAAAAATTTCAGTTTTGCTTGTTGCGCGGTCCAGAGTCTTAAATTATTAATAATGTGTATTGTCGTGATAAATGCTTGATTTATCTATGTGGGCTATCAGATTATCTTAGCGGGTTACTCTCAATTGAACAGATAAGTTCCTCTTGTCTATAGTGTAGTCTGGTTTACGATAAAGTACAGGTAACATTCGTTTTTATATAGCATTATGTTAATTCGCAAATGTAGGCTTAAATATTTATGACAGTCCCCTAATTTTTCAAAATTTCCCTTTTTTCCGTAAGTTCTGTGTGTTGTATGAATATGGATGTATATTTCCTTTTAAAAGATCTTTCTGGTTGAGAGCAACAGAAATCAAGATGCCGCTGGGCTGGACAAATGCTCAGTGAGTTCGCAAAACGCTGTTTAATAAATACAAATATTTCGGTCGCATTTAAACCCGTGTCCAAACAAGGATTTAAATCAATGGTCATTTGTAGATATAATTTTATTTAAAAAGTCCTCAATTATGCCGCGATAAATGCTTGGCATAAAATTTAGTGCTTAGCATTAAAAATAAGGGACTGTTTAAAACTACAAGTATTTAACAAAAAATATATATTATTTACTACAAACTTAATTAAACCACTATATAAATAGATTTGCCCAAAAGATGACAAATTGAAACTTATGCAAATATTTAGTCATTTTATTATTTGTTTAGGCCCTGTTTCAAATGCAAGCCCCTCGCGATGAAGCGGCCAAGCTGGAAGAACAGCGTAAGCTGATTGAGTTTCATGTAATCGGAAACTCTTTGACTGGGCCAGTCAATAAACAAACGATGCTGTGGCTTATAGGTAATATCCACGATTCAAAAGTACATATTTGTTATACTATAGTGTGTATTTGTCGCTTTACCAAAAACTAATAGATGTTTATTAGAGGTTATACGATGGCTTAGAACACGTTACATTATTTTTTTATTTTTTTCTAACGTAATTTTTTAAGTTTTTAGATTCTATTTTCTTAAATAAAATTAACTCAAATTTGAGTCCTTTTGCTTTTTGTGTTTAGCAAAAGTTTTGTATGTAATGTTTCGATTTTTATAAATTTTGAATTCTCAAACAGGCTTACACAACGTCTTCTCACATCAATTACCTGAAATGACAAAAGAATACATATCCCAATTAGTCTTCGATCCGTAAGTATTTCGTAATGTTATTTCTTAGTGATTCTTGAAGGTAGATGGTAAAATAAAGAATCTTTTTATGTTTGTTTCAGGAAACATAAAACACTAGCTCTAATAAAGGAGGGTAGACCGATTGGCGGAATTTGTTTTAGAACGTTTCATTCGCAGGTAAGTTATTCATTTTATATATATTTTAAATCTCTAAGATCTTATTTTCTTCAAGAATTTAAGATCTCTTTCACAGCCTACTTAACATCTGGCAGTATTAAGTTAATGCAGGCTTTGAACCGTTACACTTTGTTCTGGACTCCTGTATTTGTGAAAAATTATAATAACAATTATCTAAATTATTTGTGATTATTTCTAAAACCTTAAATTTCTACATATCTCTCCTTAATGTTACCTAATGCTGTTGTCTACACACAAATGAAACAATGTTCCAGGGTTTCAGCGAGGTGGTGTTCTGCGCAGTGACATCGAACGAGCAAGTCAAGGGCTACGGTACACATCTTATGAATCACCTCAAAGATTATCACATTCAGAATAACATCCTGCACTTTTTAACATTTGCTGATGAATTCGCTATAGGTAAGTCTAATAATCGTTTCTTACAAATACTTTAAACCTCCGAATTTTCCACTCACAGAATCACTAGCAATATATGTCCGTTTATTTTATATTACCAGTAATTTAAGAAGGAATGCCATTTTGGCATCTTTTGCGTTACAGCGTAATATACAAATATGCTTTCGATACGTATGTATCTTCACTGTTACATCTAAGTAAATGACAATATATTCTACTTCTACGCAAGTAAATCCCATCCTTGACAATTGTCCTCTATCAAAAAACAGCGATTCTCCTATCACAGCACAGCAGTAACTTGAATTTTGTCATTTTCCAGGGTATTTCAAGAAGCAGGGCTTCAGCAAGGACATAAAATTGCCTCGGGCCATGTACCAGGGCTACATAAAGGACTACGAAGGCGCGACGCTTATGCACTGCGAACTTCATCCGAGGATCGTTTACACTCAATTTACTTCAGTTATAAGGAAACAAAAAGAGGTGTGTGTGAGGCTTTTTATTGCACATACCTTCAAATATGAATATAACTTTATACGAAAAAGAAGAACTATAATAATAATTTTAATGTTTCTTTTTTGTAGTGACTGGCTACTCTCGTTATTTTAAGTATAAGTAACGGCATGGATCTTTAGCGCTGAACGAATCCTCCGCAGAAGTCAAAAATAAGGTATCGAAGGGACGGAAGTGCAACTTAATTCGTTCAGCGCTAAACATCCGTCCCGCGACCTATAACTTTGTGTTAAATAAATACCATAATAAAACTTGGCGAAGGAGCGGCGGCGACTTTCTTGCTAATTCTTCTCGTTCGTTCTATGCCTTTATTTAAGAACTGGTAGTAAATGTACATTTAGAGTCTTACGTTCTTTAACTGGATAAACGTTAAAAAAAAAACGTTCGTTGTAAAGAAATGAAATACTAAAATATATATAATACCAATGTAAAGAACGTTTTGAGTTTTAGAATGCAACGCTTTCTATTGGTCGTCTCTTTGTAGTCAAATATTGTTTCAGATTGTGAAGAAGTTAATAGATATGCGACAAAAAGAAGTACGTAAAGTTCATCCGGGATTGACTTGCTTTAAGGAAGGAGTAAGTACCGTTCACTAGTTACCATAATCGTAAGCAAAGTCGACAACCAGATCTAGCCTACGGCTGGTGCAAAGCATCTGGTTTGCATAAGCGAACTGGCCGTGTATAAAGAGTTGAAAAAATACATGGCGCGTTCGGATCGTTAAAAGTTTTTTTTATTAAATGTGTACTACTCGTGTAAGTAACAGGTAATACTACTACTAGCTATCAAACCAAAACATTGCACCTAAATACAGATTATTCTTAATCTATATATAGATTAAGATTGAAACTACATTGCGCAAGGTGTTGAAAAAAATCGACGATCACGTGTAAGGCAATTGGGCGGTGACTCAATTGATAACATGTCATGTGTATTTAAATAAAACACTTTAACGGTTTAAAACGCGATATGTCGTGGTCACGGGAGACTGCTGCAAAGCAGTCTCCCGTGACCACGACTGCTGCAAAGCATCCGAAACGTCGGGCCGAAGTTAAAAATCATTTTCAAATAAGTTTAACTAATATATCGCGTTTTAAACCGTTAAAGTGTTTTATTTAAATGTGTACTACTCGCGTAAACTATAGACAGTATGTCATGTGTAATTTTATGTCAAACCATCTCGCTCAATATTAGTTGCTTTCCCTTCAACCTGGTATTTAACTTTTTCTTTAACTTTAAAGGTAATTCTGTTAGTTCCACTAAAGTGTATTTTTTTTTATATCGACCAATTTTTATTTAATGTTTATATAATAAAATATTAATATAACTTTCTAGGTACGAAGTATACCAATAGAAGCAATCCCAGGTCTGCGCGAAGCCGGATGGAGGGCGACTCGCTCCGTCCCAGAACCGCAGCTAGATGCCGACCCAGCACCATTTAGGAATATACTTCAAACGGTAAGTCTTGGGCCACGATCAGATTTAGAAGCATTTCATTAATAAAGAAAGCCTTAACCGATCTAAACAATATATATTACTCGTTGTGCCAGCGGCTACGCCCGCGTAGAATAGTTATTTTTGGCATCAAAATTGTTTCATAATGTTTGTTTCTGCAAACCTTACTCCTGGAGTCTTAACTCGCTTTGTAATTGTTACTTTTTTAACTCGACTAACAGCTTTTAAAATTCAAATTATAATTTACAGGTTAAGAATCACGCTGCCGCCTGGCCCTTCCTTAAGCCGGTGGATAAAGCTGAGGTACCGGACTACTATGACCACATAAAATACCCTATGGGTAAGGCAATTGTAATCTTTAGATATAGAGTAACGTAAATAGTTGCGTGTCCGCACCTTCTTTATAAATCTTACATAATTGATATACTTCATATACATGGACTTCAACACTAACTACTGTGAATCAACAAAATAAGCACAAAAGTTTGTTTGGTGGTATTTTTTTTATAGAGGACGACAGACAAGATCATTATCCAGATTTCTAAACGAAGCCCAATATGTTTCAGATAAATTATAAAATGAAAACATTTGAAACATTTTGGACTCCGTCAAAAGAGTCATTAGTTTGATGATACTTGAAACATATGCGTTTCGTTAGTAAGCCTAAAAGAAATGGTTGATAAATTATTATTGTGCAGATCTCCGTACGATGGGAGAGCGCTTGAAGGCACGATACTACGTGGCGAGGCGTCTCTTCATCGCAGACATGACCCGAATATTCACCAATTGCAGACTATATAATTCTCCAGATACAGAGTATTACAGGTAGACGATCCGACATATATAAATGACTTTAGTTTAATAATTATTTAGGGGATAGACTAATTGCTTATTTCGCTATGCTAATAAATAAAATTATTTTAGTTCATTACTTTAAAAGTTCCTAAACAAAGTTAAGCATTATTGCCAAACCTACTGTTGAGTTAAATGATTATACCCCTTATGAGAAAATGCTAGGATTGAAATAAAACATTTTTAACAATTTCAAATGTGAAATATATTAGGTAACTTGTTTTTATATAATCTAACTACGGCCCAATGGTTTTGGACACCTCGCAACAAGCCGTGGACACGTGTCAGCAAAACTTAACTAATATATTTCGCGATTTAACTCGTTAAAAGTATTTTATTTCAATCTTTAATACTTGCGTAAACCCGGACAATACTTGCATTTTTTGACATTTAAATAATAAAGATTGTTTATTTTTAGGTGTGCCAACATTTTAGAAAAATACTTCCAAGCGAAAATGAAGGAAGCTGGTTTGTGGGATAAGTGAATAAAAAAACATTAATCTATAAGAGAGAAAATAATACATGAAGACTCAAACTATGTGACAGAAAGAAAATCTTTTAATTTATTACAAGGCAAATTATGAACTAAATATATTTCTTACTTGTATGTTACCACGGTCTTTCGATTAAGTTGATACAGCCTGGAGTTTGTCGTAGTAAATTAAATAAAATAAATATGAAAGGAAATGTTTGTAGTCTTATAAGCATATTACACTAAACTGCTATAGCCAATTTACCTAATCGTCACAATGGGGGTAAATCTGGACTGTTTTTGTCTTTGTTCTTTGTGTGGAAAAGAGACAACACTCTATTAGTTTTTGCTAAATAATGTATGGCTTTTAGGCAATGTACATTTTGCTCGAAAGAAATTGTGTTATTTATCGTTTTTACATAATAGTGTTTGAGTTTACCTTTGTAAGAGTACATTAAACAAAATAAAAATTCTTTAGTATGTATTTTGTAACGGATTCTCCCCAAACCGAATGCAATAGGTGAGTATGGCTTGTCAGACAGCCAGATAGATCATTTTAATAACCCCTTCACCTGATGATGAAGATGCTGTTTACGCCTTCCTCTAATAATTTTGTAACCTGTTTGCCACTATAAATAATAGAGATATCGTCGGCAAAAAAGAAAATGTTACCATTATTACTTACCAAAGCAAACAGAGAAAGATTGCACAAATCATTGATGTTAATAAAAAAGAGAGAAGGACAGAGCACGCTGTTTTGGGGTACCCCGTTAGGAACAAAATTTTGGTTGCTGGTGTAACCACCAAAGCGCGTTGTTTTCTATTATGGAGGTACGATTGCTACCACACCAAGTCCTTGCCCCTCGCCCTATGTTCTCTATTTTTCACAAAAGTATAGGGCGCGAGAGGGTATCGAATGCCATTGCGAGGTCAAGAAATGATCCAATACATTGCTGGTCTATAGCTAGTTCGTCATTTACTGTATTAATAAGCTTAGAAATAGCGTCCTCAGTAGATTTCTTTTTGCGGAAGCCAGCCATTACCGGAGAAAATAAACTTTGCTGCCAAGATAGAGAGTAGCCTATTATTAACTACTCTTTCCATTATCTTTGCAAAAATCGAAAGAATGGAAATCGGTCTGTAGTTAGATATTTCATTTCAACTTCCGCCTTTGAACATAGGAGTTATGTTTGCCAGCTTCCAGGCTTCGGGAAAGCTATTGCTTGAGATTCTTAAGTGGCACAGAAAGGCCACAAGAATATCTTTAAGGATTTTTTCACATCAATCAGATCACTTCCTATATTGTCTCACCCACCAGCTGAATTTAATTTGAGTTTATTAATAATACTTAGTTAATATTTCTTTGTCGCGAGAAGGGGGTAGAAAAAATGATTTTGGATTATAAGGTATTGTAAATATGTATATATAATATAGTATTGTTAGCGAACTTCAAATATTTTCTGCACACTCCAAATATTTTGTGACACAACAAGTCAATATACCGATTATGAAGTTCAGATTATTAGGGTATTTAGCCTAGTCCTTCGAGATAAAACAAGCGTTTGGGTTTTTTCGTATAAGGTATTCCGAGATGTAAATATGTAGTTGTAGCAGCGTAACCTGTTAACCCAAGAACATTGAACTTAAAGGGTTAATGTTCTGGAACTTTTTCTTGACTGCATTAAGAATTATATGTTCTTGTGAAGAGTGTCAGAGAGATCCACTAAATGAAGTCTTAGACGAATCGTTTTTGTTTTTCTGACATCTCATGTCGTTTGAGTTTAGATACTAGAAGAGATTTACAGAGGTGCAGACGTGGTTTGTATTAGGCACGTTTCTTACTTCTAAACAGGTTTTATTAGGAGATTTCGCAAATCCGCAGATACAGATATCCATTGAGATTGGATGCCGTCGATTTTGTTCTGTATACTATCCACTCTTCTTTGCTAAAAAACATTGATATTTTAATATCCTGGCTCGTTGAGTCAATAGTGACTAGTTTAATAAACGAGTCAAATATGGACTTTTCTAGAGAGTCAAGTCTGCTGTTTTAATGCCGAAAACATTTTTGCTTCATCATTTTGTTCCTTTTCAAAATGTCTTTTATTTCCCTGCGAAATATAAAAAATCTATCAATGTCATAAATCTTAAATTTTTAGGCTTCTTTGACTTTGAGGAATAGTCATTATCCAATGCGGAAGCGCTGCCCTGTTTCTGCGAATTCAAATTCCTGTTTGTAGATTGGTTTTGACTTTGGGGGTGTGTCCATTGCCTCCATTGTTCTTGCGCTTGGGTCGGTGGGCGGAGCCAGCACCCCGGCTAATGATTGGTCGGTGACGGGTACTAGGGTCACAGCATCACAGGACGCTTAGCACGACACAACTCACTGAAGTAATCTACTGCTCACTTATATAATCCTAGTAACTTTGGAGTATTTAAAGTGATTTCAATAAAATCTCAATTAATACATTTAAATTTGTATTACGCGCGTACAGTACAGACTGTATTTTTTGTTAGATCTGGTACAGATTTTAAACAAACATGTTTTTTAAATCATTTTCTACTAATGAACATTAAAACGGATCTTGAGATCAATCTAATCGCTTATAGTGGGTCCAACTAAAATTTCACCATCTAAATAAAACATCTTAAGAATAAAGAATATATTAAAGATTTCCCTCTGTTTTTATTTGACTTGGTTATACACATTTTTAATGTCGAGGCTATATACATGGTTATTTACGCCTACTCAACTAACTTTTCAGCTCTGCGCTATTGTTAGGTAAGAATCAAATGAAACTCAAATAATCAATACTGTATTGGTTTTTATTTTAACACTCTGTGTACATTTAGAATATTTAAGAGGGGAATGTAAATACATATACAACTTTGACAAAAACTGAAGTAACAGTAAAGTACAAACATACCAGTCTCCTTGTTAATATAAAATCCAATGGATTCTCCATAAGTACCTTAAGAGTACGATTACTTAAATGCTTATAAAACTTAATATGATCCCTTACAATTAATACAGGTTATATCACTTCCGATGGACCTGAGACAAAAATATCTATAGATCGTAAGCGATATAACTTGCGAACAGACTAGAATGTATTTACTATATTAGAGCCACGAATCGATCCTGCAGTCTACGTCTGGCACCTAGAGCAACGATGGTTGTTTGGCCCTGTTATCTGTATAGATGTTCGCCGTTACATAACACTTGGTCAAACAAATAGACAGTCAATAGAAACGAAACTATTCTACGATAATTAATTGGTTTTAACCAAGAATTAGCAATCGGACCGCATATATTTTTAATGTAAATAACATGTGTAAGTTAAGTGATCGGTAGATAAATTATATTAATAAACGAAAATGTCTAACAGCTTCGCAAAGTAAAATCTCATCAAATGTCACACAACATCGAAAACATCTTAGAGTTAAGAATATAGCTAGCGAGCTAACTTTAGTAACATAAACATTTAGGTTCATTTAATGGACGGATACCATGATAAATGAATTAATATTAAGAGAGAGGGCCAACACAACCGTTTCATACTATTTTAGACATAGTTTAAGGACAAGATATAAGATTGAGTCAAATTGATTCTTGTGTAAGTCTTGCGTTCATGTACGTAAATTGCTTTTGTTTTGGATACATAAGTGAGATCAACCAAATCAAATTTAAGTACAGTTTTTGAAATAATCGACAATAGACCGATTTATTTGTATCTATTTGTTGTTTTAAGATGGAAATTTCTTTTCAAAACATCTTGTTTCATAGACAATTGGTCTTTTTTTATAACAAACAATTTATCTCTTTACAAATAATTTCCTTTCAATAATACATTTTATTTATTGGTCAATATTTCTGAATCGCTTGTACTGTACATCGTTGACTAGGCGGAATCGCGGTATATAGTGCCTAATATTATTTGTCCTTTAAAAAAATATCACTTTTTCACTTCACCACTCATCACTGGAAGTTTTTTTTTTGCTTTTTTGAGTATTTTCCCTTATCTTAGTGATAATGAACACAAGGAAACACTAGCGTCTAACATTGACTCGCAGTGGGATATCCATTATATGCAGTGATATTTATCAACTATTTATATAGAAGGGTTAATATTAGTTAAAGAAACAGATTAAATGTACCGTAAACCCACTAAAGAAATATTTTCACGTAAGCTAGAATTTATGAGAAATGAAAATGCGGGTCAGACTACATTTTATGAAACTTACAAATATATCACACGGATAAGTAATACAAGTACAGTAGCAAGAAAAGTTACTTAAAACTACTCATTCATATCGTTCACTGCATATAATTGAAATCTAAGTCATATCAAATGGAAAAATCTACCAAAAGCGATTGATAACGACCACAGTAGACATTTCTCCCAGCGATTTAGTAGAATCGACGCATAATCAAGAATAGATATCAATTCCAAAAGTCATTAAGACCAGTAAACCACAACCTATGTTTGGTCCGAAAAACTGATATTGAAAGAGACTTGAAATGCTATCTAGATGATTATCATCAGATGCTCTCGTAGTCCCATGGCTGGGACTAGCATAAATGTTGATGACTGTAACGACATGATGATATTCAGCTACAATCAAAGTCAATTCTGTCTATTTCATTTTATCCTAGTATGACAAACGCAGTGATCCCATTGGTAGATTAACTCCCACAAACGCACATGTTCCAGCCATTCCCAAGGGGGGGTTAGCGCGAAGGGGGGTATTTGGCACGGCGGGCATCTTGGACCGCGGTATTAAAGACTATCTCCAACAACATGCTCTTAAAGCACCGCGGTCCTACAATAGTGCGAGGCCTCAGGCGTCGCTAGTACCGGGGTTCGGTTCCTCTTGAGAACAATCTTCGTGTTGTTCGTTTGGCGATTCCTCGTTATTAGAACTGAAAAAGATAAATTGAAATAAAAATAGAAATATATGTATGATTATAAACAGAATCAAACATATAATTTAAATGAAATTAAAAAAAACTTTTTTCGGTTTAAAACTAGATATATTCGTTGAAATATTTTCAAACTGTTCAACTACACTTACGACCATATATTGTCACGAGGGGCTGCTGCAAAAGATCCTAAATGCCGGGTCGTAGAAAAAAAATCTTTAACCGTTAACAGTGTTAAATCGTAACGTGTACTACTAGTAACGATATACTATACTTGAACATATAATCAAATCTAATTTCATAATACTATATCATTAAGGGATTGTGCCTAACCTGTGTTCATGAAGCGGCGAGTGCGCCGGTACTAAGTGATCTGGTGATGAAGCGCGGCTGCTACGCTCGCTGTGAGCCTCGCCGTAGGAATTATCTGACGTTAGCTGAAATATGAAGAATTGAAACGTTAGAAAATAACGTCAATTATATCTTAACAAACTGTACCAGCGTGTTCCCACTCATCGCTCCTATAAGTCACAGCGTGATGTTTTATGCCTTCCTCGATGAATGCTCACAAAAATAATTTTCAATTCCCCACCAGTAGTTCCTGAGATTAGCGCGTTCAAACAAACAAACTCTGCAGCTTGATATATTAGTATAGATATATTTAAGTCTCTTCGTCTTACCAGGGTGAGTGGATGTCTATTCCTAGCTGGAGAGAGTGCTGGACTAAGAGCACGGCTGCGAGCCTCCTCAACGTCCAGCTGTAGGATACTTTCTTGGCTGCCCGTAAACTGAAAATATAATAACCTCTATTTAGCTAACACGAAGGTTCAATTTAGATTGCAATTACACCTGGTCTACACATCAATACGTGATTTTTTTATTTATAATAAATAAGCTATTTAATAAAAGAAGTGTTACCATCATAAATAATATATATAACATTGATCAACATGATTATTGAGATTTTGACAGAAAGTGTATAGTATGTCTAAGTATGTATAGCTCTTGAGGAATGACAACCGTGTTCCGGGGTTACTTGCTAGAATGTGAAGTACGCCAGCCATATAACATCTCAACAAGATGGCCTATTGACCTATGGCTTTGATATTAGGAAATACACATATACGCATATATTATATAAAATGTTTTACCACGAAGCCATAATATTTGAGGATATCCATCTTGCACATGGGGCAGGTACGATGTTCCAGTAACCACGGATCGATGCAGTTCTTGTGGAAGTCGTGTCTGAAAGGAATTGTGGGTAGATTGAATATTTTATTGTATTTCTATCATGATCGACGAAGGTGTACATAATTTTGTTGTTAACGCAAAACCCTTAGGGTTACTACGCCAGCGTCTTTCAACGTCTTGAAGTAGACTTTTATTCTTCCAACAGAATGCTGAGCCAAGATTCGTTTCTCAGGTAATTTAAACGGCATATATCACACTAAAGATCTCAATGGCTCGATTATTTCGTCACACTTACCTACAAGGAAGAGATCTTATCATTTCTGACACTTTATACGGCTCTATACAGATGGCGCAACATTCGCCGTCGCCTTGCACCTCCTGAAAACATGAAATTAAAACTTTTTAACAAATTCCTTAAGAAGTAAGAGAATGAACTCTCTCTTCTGTTGTCAACAACAATATGAACAACGTATAAGAAATAAAACAATAAGATTAACAATAAAGTAAATTAAAAAAAAACACTCTAATTTAACAGTCGCGGTCTCGTCTCACCGTGACCTCGGCTGCGGCAAAGCAAAGCATTCGGAACATCAGGCCATAGTTAAAATAATTTGTAAATAATTTAACTAATATATTTCACGTTTAAAGACATTACAAAAAACACTCTTAACCGTTTCAGTGTTTATTAAGATATCTGCTATGTATGCAAATGCACATTGTAAATACACAAGAAAAATAACATTGAGTTACGACAGACATACATGAGAACTCAATAAATTATATATAATGCACTATTAATGCATCTAAGTACCATATAAGATAATTTATTGGTAATCAGTTGACGGGGTATTAATATTAATGCTAACACTAATTCCATTAATGCTTTATCAGAATCAGAAAAAAACATTATATTACTATGGAAAATTACAGGGTTTAAATCAAAGTTGGTTTAAACCATATAACTTATATGTGATTATTATTATCTAAAATAGTTTTTAATGGTAGTTTTATAGAATTAACTGGGAGATGATTTTTACCCTTTAAAAGTATAAACAAAAGAGATTCTTTAAATAAAACACTTTAAGAAAGATTAAATGTATAGACCCGCGGGTGGGGGGGCTTGCGGGGCAGCCGGGGGAAAGGGTCTCCCCGTGTTTTAGTTTAAAATGTTACTACTCGCGTAAACTATACATTTAATTAACAATGATTCTAATAATACTATAAATGCGAAAGTTTAAACCGACCATTTTTATACTTTGTAAAAATTGTATTTCATTTAATATTTTAGCAGACATTTATATGTATTATTATGTAGACAGCGTTTCAAAGCAAAAACTGTTTTTCGCTTAGAAGGAACTGTTACAAAGCGTGTTTTTTTGATAAGTTATATTCTAGACTACTTAGTCAATTACTCACCCTGTCCTCAGTCTTTAAGCTCTTAACAGGAATTTTAGATAAAGCTTTCTTGGCGGCGCAGCACAGTCGTTTCTGAAAACATAATATAATCTTTTATTGCATTGAATCTATACTCAAGAAAAAAATAGGTGATAATCTTGTTATGGTAGAGAAAGAAAGACAAGTCTGGGATTTACTTGATAGTAGGTGAATCACCCCAGCGATATAACATCTATTTTGGATTTGAACATTCGGAAATCTACAGACTGAAATCCTAACGCGATTAAACTTGACGGCTCTTTCAACCGTATGGCGGTTCGTGCCGTAATTAAAAGAACAATCAAAACGAAATTCATTATATTTTTTGTAAACGTAAATTAATAATAATTTGTGGCATTTAATAACTCGGTTCAGTTATTCAATTTCAAGTACTTATTAAGAAGAAGTTCTAATATATAGGACTTAATAATAGTAAATAAATAAAAATATTAATTACTGACCGAGAGCCTGTCTTTAGCGTGTATGTACCTAAACCGCTGTATGTAGTAGAAGACAAGCCACGCCAGCGATATCACCATCAGAACTATGAAAGAGATCGACACGAACAGCACTGAAGTCCTGGAAAATAGACAAATATTTGAAAACTTTATATATTTTTTTACATATTATTACATAGTGCACATGAAGGCATTATATAATATAAAAAATCGAAATAAAATTGAAATAAGAGCAACAGCACGGAACGCTAAAGATGCCGGTTCAAGTCCTGCCCGAGTCGAATTTTTTTTTAAATTTATTTTCGATTTTTAAATTAATAGACAAATATTGTTTAGTTTTCGAAAAGATCTGATCGTCTCTGTAGCCAAATATTAAACGTGTTACCTAGCATTGCTTTAAGCGCGAGAGGTTTTAGTTCGAATCCCAGGGAACTAAGAGATTGTTTGGCAAGACATTGAAGTCTGAATAACTACTTGCTTGTAGATAAAACCGATCAGTGATACATCAATGTCTTTTGCCCGTGGGGCATGGGATTTAATTTTTTAAGACGGACCTCTTATAAGTTTCTAATATTTCAGATAAAGTACAGACTGAATATGAAATAAAACATTTTTAAAGAGATCGAAACACAACTTTTTAAGAAGAAATATTTATTTACTAAAAAGGTAGAACAAGTGGTATTGATGACATTGTAGGTTTTTACTTATGTATCAGAAGCGTTAAGGGAGCTTATTTCGGTTGTTCTATAATGTTAACAGTTGATCACAAACTTGCATAAAACTCATTACATTACTAGTATCAACTAGTAATGTAATGAGTTTTTATGCAAGAAAAAAAATAGCAACGATGATAATAGATAGATCAATGAAAAATATAAACTTAATTAAAGGCATATCTTGCGTTCTTAGTGTTTGCGTATGCACGAATGCCTTTTGTCATGAGTACTAAATGATTTATATGTGTAGGTAAGCCTATATGAGGTGAGTCGAAAACATGGTTTAAAGCGAAAGCGAAGGTTTAACATGTCGACCGAATTTCGCATTGTATTTGTTTAATAAACAAAAATAATTATTTTTTTATATACTGAATAAATTTTAATAGAAAAAGTTTAGTAGAAATTTGTAAACCAAATTTACACCGACTGACAAAGTTTAACGCTGCCGAAATTTTGCCAATTGTTAACCGAATTTCGGTCCATTCATAATCAATATTATATGAGATCTAACTGAAACCAGGGCAAGCCGCCTACGACTACATTACAATAGCTAGTACGGACTTACCCGGATTCCGTGGTTTCACCGGAAAAAAAACTAAAAATGTTTGATATACATTAGTTTATTTATAACATTGTGAAGAGAGTTTTTAATTTCATATGAAATAAGATAAAGGCCCATTTCTGCTAATTTACTAACATCACAATTGCATATTTTTGCAGAAATCGACTTATTTTCAACGAAATTGTTTACCCCACAATCATTATGCATTGATACTTCTTTGTTTACTACTGTTTTATTCTGTTGTGTTGTTATATCTTAATGTATAGGTGAATCTCTACAAAAAATTTCAAATGTACGCTTTTCTCCTTAAGATGAGCGATGTATTTCACGTTTTCTACTTTGATGTTTACTGTCTTATATTTTTCTTCACTTACCTAATAACAAATTAATAATTTATTTTATTTTATGCATTGTTATTATTGCACCTATTGTTTTGTTGGTTAATTAACCTAGTTCCTAGTTCTTTATAATGTAATTTCATCGATATTGTTTTTTTGTATATGTTGTCTTTTTTAGTCCAAAATATTGTTTGTTCTTATACTGTTTTCATTATATAATTAGTATTCAAACACTAATTGTAATTCTGATTGTAAAAAATTTTAACTGGCAATTTATTTTTCTTTATTGTCGTCTATCATGTTTTTAAATTCCAGTTACTGTTAATATTCAAAAACTACCTTTTGCGTCCCTCATAACTTATTAATTTCTTCAATCCTTGTAAGAATGTTGGCCAATAAAAAACAGGAGTAACTACATTCTGCAATTGCTTTGAAAATTCAATACTAACTTATTTATATTATTGTTGACGTGTGTGAGTGTCCGGCCTCTGGATATCCCGATCGTAACTCGGGTTCCGTTATCCACCATCTGGGTGATTTCTGCCCCTTTCCATTTGTATGTGAACACTGCACTTATATTTCCTGGAACAAATAAAATAATTACAAAATCGTTTATTTTTATATATTTCACAAAGGATAAGGGGACTGGAGTATATCTTTCGCGCTACCCAAATCTGGTGGACAAATGTATACAAATTGAGTAATAACTCTAGTATTTAGATAGGTCTAGGATGTGACAGTTTCTTGCATTCTAGTAGATCAAACTCTGGAAGACCAGAAATATAAAATCGAATTTTATGATTAACACTTCTGTTTTAAAACCGTCTAAAGAGTAATCAATAGTTTAGGCAGGATATCATGAATAATTTGATGATGAATGATCTTAGCCTGATAGTTATTCTATTGATACATCTTCAATCAAATAACCGAGGTCTAGACTTCCCTTGGGATAAAATATATAACGGTTCAAAAACGTGTGGATGAAACGATTTTTATCTTCTTTGAGGTATCTACAGGCATTTTATATGGAGGTGGATCAAATTTAGATGATAAACACACTTCTACATCACACACCATAGACGTAACGCCATAACATAATTACTGTTAATAGTAAACCGCCTTAATCAGGCTTACGGCTAAATAGTCGCCCTGGCACAGAGTAATTGCATTACAGAGAGAGCTCATCCCGGGCTGTATTTATGGTGGACTAATGAGATCAGAGCTGGGGTTTCATTGCCAAGGCCTTAGCAGCTGAGGTTTGCTGCGTCAGCACTAAGAGCCATTCCTTGAAGCCCAAACTTTACATAACGTTGACATCTCACAGGCATCCTAGTAAAAAATTAAGGAGACACATTTTTGAGGCCATTTCACAAATTAAGGCTTTGTCTACACAAATACAATAAATGTATAATATCGCCTTTAAAACTGTTTTAATGGTGTTAAATATACAGCTATGTAGGCAATAAACTTTTTTATATTCCATATTTCTATATATAGATTCTACGTATAGATAGATTTGGGTATCTATAAATAGCACCATTTTTGTTATTTTTATGCTTATTATCGTTGGCCAGTATTTTTTCTATATACGATTCACGATGATCTAGAGTTATCCCGATCGAACGAGCTAGCTATTCCATAATAATATCTTTGATAATATTCATTGGGGCAAATACTGCGTCTGACTTCACAGATTGATTTTATTTACTGTTATTTAAACTATACGTTGCTTAGAGATATGAAGGCATTAGGTACCGAGACGATATATAGATATATGAAGTTTTATTTTAACTCGAAATGCCTTGTGTGTTATTAACCCGAATAGTCCATATTTAAATAAATCATTTGTAACGCTTTAAAAAGGGAAATGTTTACTTATTTTATCAACGGTCCGACGTTGCCGATTCTGTAGCAGTCCCCACGTGACCACGACTGCTGCAGAATCGTGGTAAAAATAATTCGCAAAAAGGTTAGTTCATTAAGCGTTTTAAACCCTTAAGAGTGTTTTATTTATATGGTACATCTTACTATAATTTGTAAATTTTAGTCTTATTGAGCGACATACAATCAGGTTAAAGTATTAAATAAGGATTGAAAAAGATCTTACTATAATAATAAATGGTTACGATATCACTTGAATTATAGCAAAGTTACATACGTGATATATCAAACGTTTATTGTAATAATGATAAATTGCATAATTTTCAAAATTTGCAACTTTCCCATAGTATTAAAATATCATTGAAATTGATACATATTTTACGTTTCAATATTGATAAATATTGAAACGTCGGGCCGAAGTTTCAAATAAGTTTAACTAATATCTCGCGTTTTAAACCGTTAAAGTGTTTTATTTAAATCATTACGATCGTTTATTTTTGATTTGAGATAAGATAACTGAAAATATGATCTTAAACGGTTGACGTAATTATTTTATATTTCGTCAGTCGTTTCTACGTTAAAATTATTGCAGTACTTTTCTATCTAAATATTTTTTTAAATAGAAAAGTACTATAGACTCTATGTTAGTCTTTTTGTGGTGATGTTCCCAGCTCTATAACATTTAATTACGATGCGCTATCGCCCTATTTTGCGTTAATGGCGTTAGACATTCAAAACTCACAGGATGAAAACAGATGTAGGTACACTTAAAAATCTTTATTATCGGTATAAATGTTTAATTTTACAAGATTCGATATATTGAATCCATTTAGTATCTTCATAATTGCATACCTTAATTTAGTTAGAAAAAACGAATCAAGTTAATTATTATCCATGCTTACACTGGACCAACGATCGCGACGAACAGGAATTATATACTTGTAACCTCAAAGGTGTATAGGTATTTAATTAAAACAGTTTAACGCTTTAAAACGCGAAATATATGAATTAAAGTTGTTTAAAAACTATTTTAATTACAACCCGACGTTTCAGATGCTTTCCCCGTGAACACGCTTGCTAAGCAAAAGCGAATCGTCTTTAAATAAATTAAACTAATATTTGTCGCGTTTTAAACCGTTAAAGTGTTTTATTTAAATTTATACTAGTCGCGTAAACTACAGGCAGGTTATAGATACGCGTCTGTAGGTTTGTTATTTAAACATTATTAATCTCAATATAAAAAATGTACGTATATCGTGTTAATTTTTATAAGAAGCTCTACTAAAACAACAAAAGGCGTTTTATTTAATTATATTGTTTAATTAATCCGCATTTAAACACAATGGTCGGTGTTTAATTAAATTAATCACGTGACACGTGTCAATTGTCAAGTCACGTGCCTTTAGCTTATATAATGGCATTTGTTCGAGGGTAGTTTTAGAAAAAACCTATAAATTTTAATTATCGTCGTATCTAATAAATATATAAAAATACACGCAGGTGGAAGGGGAAAAAACTCTTTGTTTTCCTATTAGAATGTAATAACAATGGTTATGTGAATTTATTATTAATATGATGTATCTTGACAGATTTTAAAAAAAGGAGGTACATGTATCATAAATTTTTTAGTAAATTCGTAATTAACTTCGTCGTTTATGAACCGATTTCGATATTGTTTTTTTGTAGTCCAATACCTAGATATTTTTCAAGTTATTGTTTTGTTATTGCTTTAATAGATTTAAAAAGATTCGGTGTACCTACGTAGTAATTACATATTTTACAATTACAATTGAGTAAAAAATTATAAAAATATTTTTATTTACCTTTTGTAGTCATATCATTTATCGAGGAAGGCTATAAGGTTATAAAATATCGAGCTGTGTCTAATAGGAGCGAAGAAACAGCGGGAAATGTATAAATATTCGTCCTTGTAGGTTTTCGTTGCGTACGCTGCGAAAACGGTTCAAGATACCTATAAAATTTGTATTAAAGAATGATTTCTCTTTAAATGATCTAAATAAAAGTTCCCAATAAAATATAGTATATGTTTATCTTTTAAGATTAACTTGCAAGAACGACGGGCGTGGACTAGGTCGTAGGTAACAGATTAAATTTATAGAGTTGAACTGGAGGTTGCAAAAAACAAATATTGATATCTAAAATAGGTATTCTCGAGTACTCGTTATTAGGGAGTGGTATTCATTTAAACATCAATATTATGATTATTCTGCGCGATGATAAAACCGTCTATTGAAGAATTATAACTTTTATCATCGATATGAACTGATACTAATACGGAAAACGATTAGATAGTATGTATGTAATATTGCAATAAATTAGCAAAAATCGTAACTGAGTAATCAAAGGAAAGCTTATGACACAAGCCTGTGTGCAATTCAACGATGAAACGGAATCATAAATATGTCCGCTTCATAGTTCACGGCGATTAAAGAAGATAAAAATCTAAAATCGATTTTTTTGTAAAAAATTTACGTCACGGACAGACAGGACGTGAACCGGCATATGCAGAACTTCCTGCAGGACAGTAGTAACTTTTTGCTCTCCAAGTCGTAAACTTTTTATTGTGTCACTTGGGACTTTAACTATAATCTCTCGTTCTTAACACGTTATATGCGCTTAACTAGTTAGTCATTTCGGGGCAGTGATATATTAGATTATTTTAAATACAGCCAGACGATTGCTTTGCAGCAGCCGTGGCCACGGGGTGAGTAGAAATATATATAATATTAGCGTTTGAAACCGTTACAAGTGCTTCATTTAAATGTGTACTTTTCGCGTTCGTACAATGCTTATTTTCGTTTCTACCAGCCGCGATATGGCCATAACTTCAATAAGACACATAATTTAAAGTTTAATTTCCTTGTCAGAAATAGCCACATGAATTCACTTCAGATTAATTACAGTACTAGTAAGTAGCAAGGAGTTTGTTCTAGTAGTAGTTATTCTATTTTAAACTTAGTCCAACTAGTACGTACGTTCTTAGAATAAGAAATTAACCTAGTTAAGGACGAGTTTTCGTCTATACTTAGTGAGCGAGATACTATGTTAGGTTAGGAAGACATAATTAGATAAATTAGGCCTTTATTAACGAAGACATGAATTTTGATACATGACGATGAAATAACATTTCACGACCAAATATGATTCAGTTTGCTGTTTTTAACGCAAAATGTGTAAGTTAAACATATTAGCAATTTTATTTTATTTAAATACAACTTAATATTAGAAATAGATCATTAACGTTCAATACTTTAAATAAAACATTAACAGTTTGAAACACGAAATGTTAAACTTATATAGAAGTTATTTTAACTTCTCTCCCTTACCACGCCACTGCGAAACGTGTGACACATCAGGCCGTACTTAAAACTAAATTAAATAAGTACTATCTGTAGTTTACTCGAGTAGTACACATTTAAATAAAACACTTTAACTGTTTAAAACGCGATATATTTTAGTTAAACTTGTTTGAAAATTATTACATCGAATACGTCGGGCCGAATTAAAAATTATTTTCAAACAAGTTTAACTAGATATATCGCGTTTTAAACCGTTTAAGTGTTTTATTTAAACAATATTATTTATTCGATTCTCAATTTGATCGATAGTTCTGACGCAATTCGGAAACTGTCAAACTATCAAAACACTGATATATTGTAAGGAAACAATGATTAACGAGATACGAACAATCGGATAGAGTAAATACGTAATCCTCGTAATAGTGAAAACAAAACGCATTTTACCATAACATTTTAATTTCGGTATTTATGTGTCTATTCTTTATTATACAACAATTAGACTGAATAAAAAAATATCTATAAACCAAAGAGTATAACGGGCGGCCTTATCGCTATTAAGCGTTTTCTTCCAGGTAACCCTTTTTAGGAAAATCATGTGAAACAAATTAAAATTTTATCTGTGACGACACACGACAATGCTCTGGTTCGAATCACGTGCAAATAGTTATTACGAGCATTAGGACACAAAAGGCTATTTCATTATAAATAATATCGTTCAATAAAACGGACACAGAATTGCACCTTCCCCTTACGACATAGCATGCATGATAAAACATTTTAATATATTCAATCTCTATTAGGTTACTTGTCCAATAATATTCCTAGACGATTCAAAACCTGATTCATTTTGTATTGGGTTAAAAGAGAATGGTCCCGCATCGGCTGCCCCAGTATAAATGGAATCTATTTTTAGATATCAAACGGAGTTCTTCAATTAACAACAAACTCCACAGGAAAATAAAAAAATACAACTGAACTATTGAATTGTATTGAAATCCCATTGCCCCTATGTGGGATGCATCGGGAGACACATTTTTGCGCCTGTTTTACCTATCGATTTTAATTTACTGCAATGTTGATCATAGTTCCGTTTCGTAACTGTCGGAACATATTTCTGTGATTCTATTTGATACACAATTTGATTCCGGTTTGATATCCGATTTATATTTCATTTGTGTAAATTTGGCGCTGAAACATTTTTTTTGATACGATGATATGATACAAGAGACAAGCTTCGGGTCCACTTGATAATGGGTGAAATACTCAAGCCATATAACATCTGAACAAGATGCGCTGTTGGCTTTATAATCTGAATCTATATAATCTGAAATCGTGAGTTCGATTCCTGCCGGGACCAAAATGTTTCGAATAAATTTATATTTTTTTCTCAATAATGTGGTAATTCATCTGGAAAGCTGGATATTAAATGGAATTTAGGAATATCAAAATTACGTCCAGACCACGAACAACCGTCAAAAGATGAAAAAGCTGTGAAGTTTAATATCCCATAAATCCAAAATGTATATAGCTGTGTTATTTTTGCCCTCTATGAAGTGAACGCCATGCTCGCATATCATATATTGTCAAGAATATTGCCATAATAGTGTTTATTTTGGAGTCTATGGTAGAGGGCGCCGAAGTTATTTCGGCTTGAACTTTACTTAACTCCCAATTTCATTCATACCTCACCCCACGTGTACATACACTATGAATGTTGAACTCCAACAAATATATCAACAGAGACATAAATTGTATAAGCCTTTGTTTACCCATGTAGTTTTGCAAAATGGCCGCATATTGCTTTTGTTTTTTAGGCTCCTAATTAAGAAATAGTTCTCTGAAACAATACTGAATTTGCTTTCTAAAAATTAATACCTATTCTAAAGTTTTATCGCCTGTCAAATGTATTGATTTTCACTTTCAAGGACTCATTTTTTAAGTGTAGTTTACTCTAAACAGAAACTAACGAAAAATCTGTCGTAGACTATTTGTTTTTATGACAGTGAAGGGCAGACGATCTTTGGGGTCAAATACGATGAAAGGAGAAGTGCCCTGCGAAGATGCACTGTCGCCCTATCTTGATTTCGGACATTCGGACCTTTCAGCTCAAAATAACACAATTCCATCGAAAAATGGTTCGTAACAATTAATCAACTAATGTTCAAATTTGATTGCTTTATTAATATTATAAGATCATCAATATCAGAAAATTAAAGTATAGTGGATCTGATGGTAATCGAACACACAATACGTTGATTATTAGCATTAGAAATCCAAAATAAGTCGCTTGCGCATCTTGTTTAGATGCTAGGCTGGAGTATTTCATCTAACATCAACATCAAGTAAACCGTATTATTGTTTGTCCTCCTCTATCATCTCTATCATAAAGATAAAAAAAACATCGCTTCCATTTAATGGACAGTAACATTTATCATTAATTTAAGTTTAATTTGTTAAGTTTAACTAATATTAAGTAATTAGTAAGTTTCGCACTTCTTGCACGCTGTATAGTTTTTAATTAATCGTTAAGTCTCTTTCTACTCGGGTTGTTTGGAAGAGATCGCTTATAGCGATAAGGCCGCCCGGTACACTCTATAGTTTTAAATTGCATAGTATCTGTAAGATATGTTTGGTGTACTTAAGTGTGAAATAAACAAATAACATTTTAAATACTTTTACGCGGGTAGTGCATCATTTAAAAAAACACTTTAACGGTTTAAAACGCGATATATTAGTTAAACTTATTTGAAAATGATTTTTAACTTCGGCCCGACGTTTCGGATGCTTTGCAGCAGTCTCTCCCTGACCACGCTGCTGCAAAGCATCCGAAACGTCGGGCCGAAGTTGAAAATCATTTTCAAATAAGTTTAACTAATATATCGCGTTTTAGTTAAAGGTTTTATTTAAATAACATTTACTTCTATTATTTTAATGCATGCATCATAATATTAACTAACCGTTTATCAAGGAATATTGCAATAAAGTACTGACGATGATAAGACAGATTAAGATAACCAGATAGTCGTTTACTCACGTCCATTGTCACTCGATAGTTTCATTTTCTCCAGCATTGGGGTGTCCCTGTCGTTGTATATCAGCACCGCCGATGCATTCGCCTTCACAGCGTTCTGCACCTGTGGACGAACAATTGTTATTAACTAGGTGTAACTAGTGTGCCAGCGACTTTGTTCGCGTGGAATAGACATTTTGGGCATTATGTAATTTATTTTTCCAGATTCCTCATCTATATCAACTGTAACTGTAACTGTACCTCGTTAGCTCGACCCGTACTAGGAATTTAATTTATTTGGGTCACAATTAGAAATTCTTTGAAGTGTACAGCGTCACAATTTGGCGGCAGTCCCGTTGTCAGATTGATCTAAAATGTGGTACATCTCACATTTAATTTAGATGACAATACAATATAATAAAATCAAAAACATTGTAAATCTAAGATGGCCGCCTATCAGAATAATGGCGGGTCATCGTTGATAATTACCTTGATCTCAAAGTTGCAGCTGCCTCGGCGGATGACGGCAATCCAGGGCTCAGTGGGCAGGGGCTTCATCGGTGTCGCCGTGGACAAAAGGGGCCACGTGCATCCCGTATGGTCGTGCGCACCGTCCGGTCCCTTTGCACGAATATGCACGGCGACGCCGCGCGCATTTCGTATAATACCCTCGCCGTATTTTCCGGACTGGAAAGAAGGAAAGAGAACGTTAAGGCAAGATCGAAGTTTATTTAAGTTTTTACAGAATTTCGAACCGAGGATCACACTCTAAGGCTTGTTACAGATCCGCGAAAGGGCACAAAAGGTTATTCGTTACTTAACGTTTTTCGGTCTTCTGTTTCAAATAAACATTTAGAAGGAATACTTTTCTTACGACTTAGTTGAGATTTATGTGTTCTTAATTATCACTCTACCCTCACTGATCAAAAAAACTATTTTAGTTGTACCTCGGACTTGCAGCCAAGGCAAGGTAACCATTCAACTGCAACGAATATAGAAAACACTCATAGTATAATAAATATTACTTGAAAGGTACTTGTGTAAATAAGTCATTATGGCTACTAAATTAAAATTGTCAATTGTCAGAAACGACATTTTTTAACATTCTTTGTTATATTTTAATAACTTTCGCATACCTGAACTATATCAAAGGATCTTAGTATTAGAAACGTGGAATCACCGATAAAGCAACCAAAAAATACCTGAAAGAACTAGCGCCTTAAGTCGTTACGTAGCGAATAGATTCCCCATAATTTAAAAATATTACAAAAAAATAAGTGTGACTCTCAGCCAAAATCATAACTTAAATTACATTTTTTTTATATATTACAGCTATGAAAAAGTTTTCCAAATGCATGTGCATCCGATTTCTGTTCGTAAGGACGCAAATTCGGTGGTCCAATTTGTACCAAAATTATCTTTATCTACATTTTTGAACGTACATTCAGTAATGGAAAAATCTGACTTATCGTAGAATAACGCGTTCAGCCAGCATAGTAGATTGTTTAAGGGTAGCGATTAGATAGATAGAGGGTACCCTTATAAAGAATGAGCCCTAACAGTAGGTGATTATGTCGTAGTCTTATATTATTCTTAGACCATTGTTATTTCAATGATAAAAGCACTACAAACCGTATTTAATAAGATTTTCCTTAAACCAATAGACAGACAATTCAATTATTTGCGTAACTTGTTCTTATTACAGTCCTAATGGCTTATTAGCACTGTCATCCAATTATATAATCTACTCCCAATTATGTCATAACGTCTGTAGAGAGACAAAGTATGAAGAGAGTGACTTTAACTTAGTTAACTAATTATTAGAATATTTTTCTATAAAGCAAAGCATATTCAGTACATTATGTGACTTTTTCAATAAAACACTTTAACGGTTTAAAACGCGATACATGTATATATTAGTTCAACATGGGGTGTCCCCGTAAAGACGGCTGCTGCAAAGCATCCGAAACGTCAAATAAGTTTAACTAATGTATATCTCGTATTAAACCGTTAAAGTGTATTATTTAAATGTGTACTACTCGCGTAAACTACAGACAGTATTTGATTACATTTTTCAAATAACCTACATTTAATTTAAAAATCAAAAATAAATTGAAAAATTTTTCGACTCGGGCAGGACTTGAACCGGCCTTTAACCTACATTTGTTTATTTTATTTATTTAATTACACCTATTGCCATTTGCCTTAAGACTAACTTATAGCTAAGAATGTATATCTAAGAACCGCATGTATTCATCTCCTAGCTTTCCCAACCCTGACACAAATATGAAGACAAGAAATATAAGCATAAAAATAGACCTTTCTTTCCTTCCTTCTGCCAATAGAGATGTTTTATGCTATGTTACATATTTTAAATAAAATATTATATTGAACTATAATAATGCAATACAAATCATGAATCTCCTCTTTTCCTACCTAATGTATTGTTCGTTATCTTTGTAGATGTAGGTATATGAATACATTGGGGTTCACCCAGGTAGTTTTTAATTTTATATGGGTGGCATTTCCCTATTTTTTTTTATAATGCTGATATCATATAGAGGTATAAAATTAAATAGATATTAAAATTGAATTTATCTCTCATACTCCGTGAAGGTTATATTTTCTTAAATTTTATTCATATTTTACTCTTTAAGCCAATAACCATTAAATTGTGCTTGCTGTAGTTTTAAATGTATATTAAAGGCTATACATAGGCTACTCTGCCTCTAGCGGCCTCATATATCGAACGTATAAATATTGCAATACATGGCATAATTATACTGTAAAGAGGGCATTCAAGATTATTCCGTAACTCCTTTTGGCAGGACCTTGGAACTTCTTCAATGCGTTACCATCTCAATATGGTTAGTTTTGACATCTGTCAGTGTATGAAGATACTATTAATGTAATAATAGGGTAACTATACGATTACAACACTTGTTATATGCATACACCTTATATTATTATAAACCTAAGATGTGAGGATGGATAAATATTTTTTTTAACCTCTCATTTTGAAAAATATTGTCCTACAATGATTCGATTTGTAGTGTGATTGGATTTTTTTTTTTATTTTGTTTTTACGTACTGAGCCCGAGGCTTCGAATACTACCGCGCATCGCTTGCTGTGGTGTGATTGGAGCTGACACTTAGTTAAATGAGAAAGACCTTTTTATCCGAAAAGCTAACATACTTTTGAAATTCCTAGCCTATTTTTAAACCCCGTATAAATTTTGTTTTTCAACACATGCCGCGTACGTGTTTCGCGTCTTGTTAATTTTGTAAAATTCCGATATATTTCGCTAATGCTCGTTAATTGGGCGTTATTACTTATTATCATATTCAAATTGGGCAGAAATTATCGCATCATTAAGATAATATCGAAGGATCTGGAATTAGTTGTTTATAAACAAAGAGAAAAAATGTGTGACGTCACTACGCTATATACGGAAGCGGAAGACCCGATTTGTATGAAAGGCACGATCGTGCGAGAATGAGATAACAATACATAAAGCTGTGTACACATAGTAGTTAGAACAGCATACATTACGCTATATTATATGGTACTAGTAATTTGTGAATATAGTGACAAAATCACAGTACTCTTATGTACTATTACAATGTGTTTTCTTTGAGCATACTTAACAAGTGCTCTGAAAACATAGTAAGAAAATTAGTTTATGTTATCTACGATCCCGACAACGCATTGTACTCTTGACCAATGGAATTAAACTTTAAACCTCCTTCCATCCATTTAGAGCCATTACGCTTTGTCGACCAGTCGCCGGCGACTCTCGCGATTGAAGAATGCGAGGCTGTTAGTCGCCGAGTTGCCTGGGCGACTAACATCGATTTAAACTATAGTAACTTACAGTCGCCGACGACTAGTCGACAGTGCGTAATAGCACTTAAAATAGACCATTACCAGAATCTAATTTGATTTTGTTTACAAAATTCTTTCTTTTCAATGAATTTTAAATTAATAATTCTAATGGAAATTCTCTTACATGTAATCCTAGCATCACTAATTTAGTGGAGGTAGTCGTTAAAACAAAGGTAAGTAGTTCTCTTAAAACTGTACCCAGATGTGGGACAATAATGTATTCAAACGACAAAAATAATGCTTTGATTTGAGCGAGATACGAATGAAGAATCATATATGAGATTTTTTTAAATGATGTTTTATCTGTTTCAAATTTCGTGTCTGTTAACGGTTACGCAAGGTGTTTTGAATGCGAACGTGACGTGAAAACGTTTAGCGTACGATAAGCACTAACAAAAATGTTTAGAATTAGGGTGTTGCTTGAAAACATTTCCCTATTGTTCTACGCAATACTGTATTCGGTTTCAGGCTGAAAATGTTGCTTATAAGTATTATAACTGCTAATGTTATGAAAGTATTTCTTTTCTTCTTAGCATGTGCAGCTAGGGATTTTCTTTGTTTCTTTCTGTAGCCTAGATCTAATCTGAATTATGCAATGTCATCTCAAGGCTAAGCGAGTGATACACAGTAGAGTTAAGAATTAATCTATACAAATATTATTAAGCTTTTTAAAAGTTTGTTTGTTTTGTTTAACCACGCTAATCATAGGAATTACTGGTTCGAATTGAACCATTATTTATGTCTTGGATAGACCATTTATTGAAGAAGGCTACATAACAAAAAAAAACAGGCTGCGACTAATGGAAGAGCTATCGTTGCGTGCGCAAACAGTCTAATTAACAAAAAAATATGAAAGAGTGATTTCTCTTAAAATTATCTAAATAATAAATGTCCGCGATATTATATGTCTATCTTTCGAGGATAACTTGAACGGTACGCGGACAACGTCGTGGGTAACATCTTTAATTTATAAAGCTTACAAACCAAAATAACTATTCCACGCGGAGTTATTCGCGGGCACAGCTAGTTTATTGATATTATTCAGCAGTTCAGCCTTTAAAATATCTTTATCATACTTTTTTTCTTCTAAAATGTTAACAATTATAATGTATAGACACACGCCTGCCCTATTGACCTATCTCTCGCACAAATATAATTTGTGAACTTATAAGGCTTCGCGTTAAAGCTGTTTAAACTTTATTAAACCGCTTCAGTGCAATGAAAGTGGTGCACCTTGACGTTTCTCACAGCACGAGGCACTCAACTCGAGTCTAACTTGTGGATGCTTGTTGTCAGCGAAATCCGTTCTTGGCCTGCATAACAAGACGCGGCACAGTTCCGAATCTAGATCGGTCTGGGAAGAGTTCTAGCCTATTTTTTAATTTATTATAACTTAGTATGAGAAAATAAGTAGTACAACTCAAGCCTTAGTTCGTTAAGTTTTGAGATTATTCTGTCTGTATATTTGTTATTGCAACCAAAAATCATTGTAGCGATGTTAAAGGTAATATTGATTATGAGAAATATTTTTATTGATGTTAAACTGTATGGATTATACAGTAACTGTAAATTGATATCAATGAGAACAATTGATATCAATGAGGAGTGTTAAAATTTGGAAAGTCGATGTTTCGGTTCAAATCTGTGGATAAGCTTTTTGACAAATATAATTGCAGTCGAATTTCTTCCAGCTGATTTCATTTGTTTCTTTTGGACAATCTCATTGATCAAAGATAGCAATGAATGGCTAATTACCGTCATGACGAAGGTTCTCGGTTTTTAACGTATTAAACACAAGTGC